GGTTCAAACCCACCAGGCACTCCTCGGAAGGAAGATGGGGCAATCTACTTCCGTGGTGATATTGCCTCGGAAACCCAAGGAGGGGTCACTATGAGTCGGGTCCGACTCGACTCGACAACAGGTAACAACAACAACAGGCTTGTATGAAAAAGTAAAATCTGAAGGGTCAATACGGCCAAACTTAAGAGTTGTGGTTTATTTACAGGCTTAATGCGGTTTTTATTCATACAGGCTTTAGCATTTTAGTTATTTTACTTTTTCTTCTATTAAAAAAAAGGAAGTGATGCCATTAAACATAAGGAGTCCACTCTTGCTTTGACATTCATCATGTACATCCACACACAGCTTTTACTAGGAAAACTGACATCTAAAAAAACTCTATTGTGTTAGCATCTACTGAAAAGTTTCTATACTACTAACTCAAAGAATGCATGATGTCTCTAAAACGCTTATAATTACTACAGTTCTAACATACAGCTCTGTTTACTTTAAAGCAATTTCTACCTTAAATGAAAAATGGCTTCCTCATCTCTCTCCACAGTAAAGTGGTCCATTTTAATAAGTGTTTCATGTCTATGATCTGTTTAATATTCTCAATGATTTATTATACTCCCAAAGACATTTTAGTTCGAGGTTTAAAAAGCCCCTTCTTTGTGACCAAACAAGTCAATGCATATTTGAAGGAGTGGCATGCACTATGTTCTTTGAATTTGTTAGGTGAGTGACTTTTGACCCTGATCTGACACTGAGGATTTCACTCCTTACGCATCTGCTTGCAACGTATTTCCAGGCCGTGTTGTTCACTATCTAAATTGAAAGACTGAAAATTTGGTCTTGGGCAGATAACAAACAAACTAAACACCAAACTCACTGCCATCAAGTCGATTCTGATTCATAGAGACCCTCATTGGGTTTCAGAGGCTGTAAATCTTTACAGAAGTAGATTGCCCCATCTTTCTTCTGTGGAACGGCTGGTGGGTTTGAACTGCTCACCTTCTGGTTAGCAGCCAAATGCCTTATCTACTATGCCACCAGAGCTCCTTGGACAAAGAATGGACAGATCCAAATCTGTGACTATTACCTCAAAATGCAATTAACTACTAAATACTAGTGATCAAGTATTGCGTGAAACCTCAGGCTAAAGAGATGTGGTCTCTGCTATCAATTTACAAAGAAAATGAGGAATGTCTCTCAAATCTATTGCGAAGACATCTTCCCACTGTCAACCTCAAGTGCTTTCAAATAATCATTTCCTTCCTAGTAGAAATTAATTTAAACTTAAATTTAAAAAATTCCTTACCTTCTCCTAACTGAAAACTCTATTTCCCACCTCCATCAAGCAAAGATGCTATCCACCATTTCCTTTCTATTATTCAAGAGGCAATTTATTAATGGCCATGACACAGGCACAATTAAGACATGATACCCCTCCAAAAACACAAACCATTGTTGTTGAGTCATTCCAACTCACAGTGACTCTACCCATCAAGTGTAACAAATGAGCATAAAATCTTGTTTATAACTTAAAATGCATCCATCTTTCTGTTTCATTTTTACAATGACATCTCAGTCTTCAAAATGAAGACTATGATCTTTTGTACAAACTGGCCTGCCCTTCACCGTGCTGCTGTCAATTTTTCATGTTATTAATACCTGGTCTGGTCCATGCTAGGTATTTATACATAAATGTCACTGCACGACTGCCCTTTCTCCTCTATATATACACATATATCTAAAGCACAATTTTTCTTGCAAATTTTCTACCCCCACCCACTTGTTAAGGTGTTCACCTCTAAAATACTTTGCCCACAAAGCTGGGGGAAAGCAGAGGATGCTATTAACCCTAAGCTGTCAACGCAGAAGGCCGCGTGCACATGCGCAGCGCCAGCGGCTCGGCCCCAACGCCTCAGGTCTTTAGCAAGTCAGGTTCCCGGCCCGAGGTCGATCCTGAATTCAGTCACGCCTTAGGCGCGGCTGGCGCGGGTCTGGTAGGGTGACGCCCGTGAGCACGGTGTGGCGTGCGGGCACACTCACAATTTCAGCATCCACTCGCCCTCCATCACCAGCGTCCAGTTAGAGGCGGTCATGGGCTGGACAAGGCTCCGCTCCGCCGGCAGCGCGGCCTGCTCGGGGTTGGCTGTCGCCGCCACCACTGCTGCGAACCAGGCAGCCAGGAGGGCCTTCAGCAACAGGCCGCAACTCTCGCCCGCCATGTTGGCTCCTCGGCAGGAGGTGTTGAGGGGAAAAAGCGACCGGGCCCGCAGCTTCGCCTGCGGGCCAATAGTGCAGGTCTAACTGGGCCTTCTAAAGAGGTCGGAGGGAAAGCTTGTTTGGTCCGCCCCGCCTTCTCCAGCCACGCTCACAGGCTGTGCTCCAGACTAGAGCTGCCCACACAGCTTCTTATCGGCCCAGGCCCTCCGAGGCCACGCCCCCTCGCCTCTAGATTTGCTGTTATCCGGGATGTTGGTTGCTTTAGCAACAGCCGTCCTTTCTTCTTTGCAGCCACGCTGAAAATAAACAGATGACCCAATGTTGCTTGAATTATAACATGCGCCACTGGTGCCCAGGCTCCAGTAAAGAGGTTGGCGCGTGTAGGTTTTCACATGGCCAGTAATTAAAGAATTCATCCCCTGTTTAATGGCTGCAAACATAGTCTCTTGAAACATTCAGTGGACAGCAGCATAATGTAATGAAAAATGTAATGAGATGGTGGGCATCTAATACTGAGAAGGGGAGGAAAATTTAAGTGCCCTTTCCATGTGTATAAGGAGCACTGGTGTGGTAGTGGGTAAGGCATTTAGCTGCTAACCAAAAGGTTAGCCTTTCAAACCCACCCACTGCTCCGCTGAGGAAGATGAGGCAATGTAGTAAAGAAGTAAATATTTACAGCCTTGGAAACCTAAAGGGGGTTGGTATGAGTCGGAATCTGGATGGCAGTGGGTTTTTTTTTTTTTTTTTGGTTTTGGTTTTGCAAGTGTACATTAAAGCATTCTTGCCTAATTTGAGATAAAGATGAAAGTAGACCATGCAATTGCATGTTTAATTAAAAAAACAATTTTAATTTCATAGAAGTTTTAAAACTTGGGTACTAATGGATAAAATTAGCCAGTTAATAAGAATACAGCTAGTTGTAGTAATTTAATCTCAGACTTCTCTGGGTACAATTTTGTTAGCTTTAAAATAAGAGTTGCCTTAAATGGTTTCCAAGTCTCTTTCTTTCCAGAAACACATTTTTACAATCTGTACCTTGGGACCACTGCACTCTTAGTATGTGAGACTGAATTACAACTAGAGGGTGAGTGAGCTGTTTCAAAGTGTGCTTCACTAGTCTTTACTATATACTTAAAGCATAAAACTGGGTAATGTGGCCAATGTATCACGAAAAAGGTATGATTTCTGCCCTGGCCTTAAACAAAAAGAGCTATATTACTAAAAGTACTTCATGGCACATGAAATCAGTCTCCAATCAGTGTTTCTTTATACAAAAGAAAGATTGATTTGGGCTACAGAGAAGATCTTGCTTGAATTGTGGTGTTAATTGGAAAAAAAAATATTGTGAAAATTTATGTAGCCCAGACCTTATTATCAAAATATAAAACTCATGTGTGTTCAAACTATTCTAAGTAAGCAACTGCCATTGCAATAAATATTACTAAGACTCACTGCAAATATATACAGATCAATCATGTAAGTTCAATGAAAAACATTTTATGCATTTATGAGGTGATTCATACATAGGAGTTTTATCATTCTTTTCAATGCAGCTTTTGTATAGGATATGTTGCTACTAAAAGTTCTTTAAAATGAATGTCACAAAACAAAATGTATATAATTTTTTGAATGGAAAACCTGTTTGCTCTGTAAACTTTAACCCAAATCACAATGAAAAGGAAAAAAAAATAGCATCTGATATTCAGAAATTACAATTAACATTTTTAGATTTGGTAACAGTGTTATGTCTATATTTCTGAAAGTATTGGTTATGAATATTGAAATAATTATGGATAAAATAATATGATGGCTATAATTTGTTTTAAAATATTCCAGAAGTAAAATGTGGAAAGTGGAGAGGGGATGGATGAAAAATGAGTAGCATAATGATTATCATTGTTGAAGTTGAGTTCATCATGCTATTCTATCAAATATGTGTATGTTAGAAAATTTACAAAGTGAAAAGATAGAGAGCGCATCTGAGACACACACACACAAGCTTATTGCTGAATCACTCTCTATCTCTAAGATAAAAATGTGTGTACACAGCTTGCATTTCTTGTCCTTCAGACTGCGGACAGTAGGAAAGAATAAAAGAAGAATGTGAAGGAGGAGCTGCCCAGTGGGGAGGCACAGACCCATGTAAGGGAGTGCTTGCTGTCAGACGTGACCAGTATCTTGGCCTGGACACTTAATAGCCATGTGATTTGTAGCTAAAATTAGGTAACATCAAGTTTCTGTTTAATTATAGATAAAATAAAACCTATTCCATAAAGTAGCTATGAAGATTGTTGTTGTTGTTGTGTGCCGTCAAGTCGGACCTGACTCATAGCAACTCCTTGGGTTTCCAAGGAGGTATCACACAAAAGTAGAGTGCCCAACCTTCCTTCTGAGAAGTGGCTGATGGGTTTGAACCACCAGCCTTCTGGTTAGCAGTCAGGTGCCTTAGGCCGTATGAGCTACCGGAGCTCCTTAGCTGTGGAGATTACATAAGTATAATATCTAGCTCATGTCATGACTCAAAAAAGCCTATGTTTTATTATTTGGAGGCAACAGCATGATATAATGCTTCTAAGACTGCAGTCTTCCTAAAGTCAAATTGACTTAACATGCTACTCAAAGTCCTTCACAATCCACCTTCAGTTCTGCCCACTTTTGTTACACCATTCTACAATCCCTCTTGCTCCATTACACACAGTTACTCTCCATTCCTCAAACATATCATGCACTTTCAAGCCTCCTCACTTTTTCATCTGCTTAGAACACTCTTCTCTAGGTGGTTGGTGAATCGTTATGCAGCCTATATGATATAGTTCACCTTGTACCTCTAGGAGAATTAGCTGTTGTCTCTTTTGGGATCCAACTACTACTGTTCCATATTACTCCACAACAACTTTGCAAATATTGTAGCATGCAATTGTCACTCTCTGTCCTCTCTCCTCCAACTCATACTGGGAGTCAAGGTAAAGTGCGTTGTCTTTTTTATCTTTGTGTCTTGTTCTAAATAGGAGAATACTCAGCTCATCACAGTCCTTTGTGTATGAAACTTCTGACATGGTCTCCAAGATCCCTATCTCCTGGTGTTCATGGCTATTGTGAGTTAAACTTTGCTACCAATCAATTGATAAATGTAACAATATTACTAGATATCAAAGTTTCATTGGGAATTGAGTTGAATTCCTTTACCACTAGTTACCACTAGTTGAAGCCTTTACCACTAGTACTGCAAATACAACTTTAATTGGAAATAGGTTTTTTGCAGATGTAATATAGTTCATGTGAATTCAGACTGGATTTGGGTGGATCCTAAATCCAATAATCACTGCTCTTATAAGAAGGCCTTGTACAGACACAGGCACACACAGAGGGAAGATGATCATGTGAAGGCAGAAATTAGAGTGACGTAGCTGTAAGCCAAAGAATACTAAGGATTTCCAGCACCATCAGAAACTAAGAAGAGGCAAAGAAGAACTTTTCTTTAGAAACTTCAGAGGGAGCATAGTCTTTCCAGCACCTTAATTTGTGACTTCTAGCCTCCAGAACTGTTTGAAATAAATTTTTGTTGTTTTAAGTCACCGATACGTGGTAACTTCTTATTATTGTAATTTGCATGAAACTTACTGAGCAATTTCATTTTCCACACAACAGTTCATACACATTTTGTTTCATAACATTGATTGCAATCCCCTTAAGGCAACAACTGGCATCCCACTTCCTCCCTGTGGTTATTTTTTCCCTGTGTCCTTTCCTGCCCTCTGAACTATCTTCCTGTGCAAATACTGCCCTTCTGATCTCCCATGGTTGACTGTTTTAAGGAGTGTACCTACCTGGTGTAAATGTTTGCCTTATACCCTGTCTATTGTTTGCCTAGAAGCCACAAAAATGAGTTCAATTCTAGGTCTGTAAGGTGACTAGTGTCCATAGTCTTGGGGGTTTCACCAGTCTCTATCAGACCAGTAAGCCTGATCTTTTTTTTTTTATGATTTTGAGTTTTATTCCTCATTTTTCTCCACCTAGTATGTGGTAGGCCCTAGGGATTGGCCTCAGGCCTAAGGCAGTCACCTACCACACACAATGCTTTCGGTTTGAGCCCGCCAAATAGCAGGGCCATCTCTTTCTCGATTCAGCCCCCTAAAAGTCTCATCCATTCACTTGGAAGGTTGTTCGTTTCAGAAGGAATGTTGGGCAATCTACTTCCGTAGTGATACTGCCTCAGCAATCCAAGGAGGGGTCACTATGAGTTGGGTCCGACTCGATGGCACATAGCAACAACAACAACAACAACAGTATGTGGTAATTTTTTTTAATGCATTTTAGTGAAATGAAATACACAAAACTAAAGTGGCATGGGTCAATGCATCTTTTAGTATGTGGTAATTTTTAATGGCAACCCTAGGAAACTAGAGCAAGGCCTTTGTGTAATTCCTTCCCCTTGAGTGTAGACTGGGCCTAGTGACTCATTTCTAACAAAAAGAATACAACTGAAATGATAGAATGTCTCCGCAATGATTAGGTTACAAAAAACTATTGCTTCCATCCTGCTAGAACTCTCTCTTGCTTGTTCAGTCTGATACACTGTATAACAAAGCCCATGTGACAAGGAACCAAAATAGGCCTTCTCACAACATCTTGTGAGGAATGAGGCCTCAGGTCCAACAACTCATGAAGAATTGAATCCTACTAATAACCAAGAGAGTGAGCTGGAAGTATATCCTTACCCACTAGTCTTGAGATGGCTGAGGGTTTTGAGTGACTCAGACCCACAGAAACTGAGATAATAAATATTTTAAGCCTCTAAGTTTTGTGGTAATTTGTTATGTAGCCATAGTTATCTATTTCAGTGCTAAATCCTTTTCGTGTTTAAAGTAGGAAAGTCTATTATAAGACATTTGGTACCCAGTAATAGAGGGAAAAGCTTTTGTCCATGGAGTAATTTTCAATGGTGGCGTTTCAGGGCAGCTATGGTTACTCAAAAATAAGTGATTCCTAGTAGGAAAATAAATTCCTTGAACTCTGATGAGGTGAAACAATAGTGAGATCGAGAGGATGAGAGTGGCAGACA